TCCTTCAGCGGGTTGCGTGCCACGTCCTCGTAGCGGACCATTTTGTAGCGGCCCTCCAGAAACGGCGGCGGCTTCAGGAGGGCCCTCTCACTGATCCGCACATGGCTGCGGCAGATCTCCTGCATGGTCTGGTACGGGACCTCGGCTGCTGGCACGTTTCTGTGCTCCAACACGATAGCACTGTCCCTCTCGAAGGATTTGGCCGACTCCTCCCTGGAGCGCAACACGGCCCGTGGGTCCCGGACCAAATGGACGATCCGCAGGTCCAGGTTCGGGTCCTGCAGAAGCGGGTACAGAGACTCCAGCTCGAAGAAGCGGACCTCTTTCAGCACCACGTGGCTGTAGGTGGCGCAGGCCTCCTCCACCTTCTGCAGCCCTGCCGCGTCACAGGAGTGGACGCAGCGACTCTGGTTGCTGAACTGGCTGCGTGGCGTGAGGGGGCAGGCGGGCGGCGAGCACAGCGCCCGGCTGTGGCTCCACATGAACAGAGAGGACACGTTGTGGCGCTCGGGCAGGTAGGCGTCCATCACTGAGAAGTCGCACTGAAACAGGCTTCGGGTCAGATCCCTCACGGCCATCCGAAGGACCCGCCCTCCATTTTTCGGCATTGTGGTCCACACGTGCCACGCCGGCTCCATGAGATAGAACACCGACGGGTGCTGACTGAACACCTGACCTAGGAAAGACGAGCCCGATCGCCACGACGACAGCAGCAGGACGTGGACTTTGCCGCTGGGGGGCGGCGGCTGGCAGGGGCTGAGCTGAACGTACCAGCCGCAGAACAACACCACTGCTGCCCCCTGCAGAACCACCAGGAGAACCAGGGTGTTGAAGCTCACCCTGCAGTGCAGACCCATGGCTCTGGAGGCCGCTGGACACCTGCTGCCTTCTCCTCCTTTAGAACAGAAGAAGACACAGAACATCACTTTCATTTCTCAGGCATCACAAGTCCCCACAGTTTGACACTGTTTCATAAATAAGCCAAATAAAGCCAAACAGACAAACAAAAAAATAATCTGTGTAATTCTCTCCATAAAAGGCAGTTGGGAGTGTCCTTGTGTTCATCACATGTTACATATGCGGCATATCCTGGCTTCTCTAACTGTACTCCACCCCAAACCAAGACAAGTTGGGCTGGAATTCCACTGACAGAAAATACTTATGGTGAACAAGCTGTCACAAGCGTGTGAATTACTGCCCATTAAATCATTTCAATTAAAGCGCACACAAACATTAAACACATCCAAATCATTTTTAAACAAATGATTAGAATAGTTGCAGCTATATGGGATGGGTAGTTTAAGTTTGCAGTCATCTGGGTTTTAATCTAGATGAAGTTATTCACTGTTGAGATCACTGATCAAAGTTCCAGGCAAACATGAACAAAACTATCAGGTTATCAGTGATCAAAACAATCAAAAGAAAAAAGATGATTGAAGATTAAATGCTGTATTATTGAACAAGTCCTGACATGATCTTCTCTCCTCCAGACCCTTGGGACAAGCGCCGGTTCATTTTCCTCTGTGTCAGCCTGAGTCTCTGCTGCAGCTGCAGCTCATACACCTTCAGAGTCCTGATCCTTCTTATTTACTTACATTTGCCTCCCTGATCAAAAGACATTCGGGTTTTATCTTACAAAACAAACCATGCTCGTTAAGTGATGGCTGGGTGGATTCCACCCTTGTTACACTCTGTCAATCTGGAATTTTAAACAATGCTCTTGCTTGTTAGATCCCAACATAATCAAACATAGGCAAGGCAGAACAAATGGTTAACACTATTTCCTCATATCTCTTCATTTAAACTTCTAAGTTTAGATGAAGGTTCAGACCCACCTGTAACAGGATATTGAATAACTTAATGTGTAAAAAGCTGGGTCAGTGGGTAAAGAAGTCACAGAAATGGATATGTGTTTAACTGAGGCTTCAAACACTGACTGAGCTTTACTTGTGATGTGTCTGAATGTTGCATTAGTGCCATTAAGCTACAAACC